CTACGATGTCGTCTTCTAACACCGGGGATCTTTCGGCTTGATTATCAGCGGCCATCCATATCAGTATTGTCCTCATAATGGGTGCCATGAATACAATTCGCCACTCCAACATAGTATATTTTTCGTTTTCCGCCTTGACCGTTGATCAGGCAATTCGAAAATCGGACCATTCCAGCGTGTTCTAGACCAGTTCGACGCTGGTGGTCTAGCGGGAGCTAGCTAGTAATTCATGAGTCTACAGGTTGCCTCTGAGGAGAGCCACGTGACAGGAAAATTTTCTCTTGACGTCATAAAAGGCAGAAATGATGTCTATTAGTCCGTTGACTTGTGGTTCCGGACGGATACCTTGCACATTTTTGGGTCATCGCCCCTGGCCTGAACATCAGTTGGTTCTCCTCGTCCTTAGCATCAATCCAACATTCAGTGACATAGATCATGGTGCGTAGCACGGTTTAATCGATCAGTTCATTCTTCGCCTACCTTGCGTACGATTATAGCTGGCGCATGCCGTCTTCCTTCGTTGGCTGATTTTTCCGTCTGGCAAACTCATGGATTCTATCAGCGAGTTCTTCGCCATTTATTGAGCCATCCGGTCGGTGACCATTGCACGTCCATTTTGTTTTCGAGAAGTTAACCTTCAATTCAAGATTCTTCGTGCAACTACTGGATCTTCTGTTGGAATTCCCTCGAAGTCGATGCAATCGCTCGCAAACAGTAAGTACCTCAGGTACTCTCCAAAAATACTGACGCCGTTGCACCAGTCTGCAGGTTCAAGAGTGACTCCAAGTCCGTGGAGTAAAGCGCTTGTAAAACGAAATCTCCTTTGCGCGCTCCTTGATGGATAATGATGCCTCATGGTCTGTTGAACCGCTTGATATCAGTCGTCAACCGGTGATCAATTTCTTCATCAGGTTTACTTACCAAGGCTTTTGTTTTCAGTGAAAGTTGTGGAATGATCATCAAGTCAATTTCTTTCGCATTTTCGGTATCTGCCTTCGTGTCGTTCCTTCTTTTACCAAACGTTACGCTGAAGTCTTCTCGGACAGTAGTGCAGCCAGTCTTTTTCTCCACTGCGCCTTTTAATTCCTGGTAGAACGTGCTCGATCATTTCGTCTTCAGATTGTTGTGCTGGCTTATGGCTGGGAGTTCTTGCACTTTTTCTTCTTTTATCCAGCTGCAGAAGTAGAATTGCCCTATTGGGGGCATGATATCACAGATAAATACCAATGCTGCAGTTTTTCCTTTTTGTTATGAATCCAACACCGCTACTTCGAGATCAGTTCTCGAAGGCTTCCCAAGAAACACCCTTCACGTTGTCCCATTGTGCAGCAAGTTTGGTGGATTTTCGTCTATATTATATGATGAAATCAGCCTTGTTCCTGCCCGTTTTCGAGATGTAGATATCGATAAATGCATCTGTCGATAGTGTTCTTGCACCATGGGCGTATCACAAAGATCTTGATGATGTTTCAGGTCCGTTTACCAATCGCGTCTTGTTCTACCGAATGTAGGCGTTGTTCAGCACAGCACGATTGTCTGCACTTATTTTCGTGGTTTCCGTTTGACTTTGCGTTCTGGTGGGTAATTGTTTGGCAGTTCATTCGGGGTGCCACCTCCTGTGAACTGTTGCCAACGTCTCTCAAACCTTCACCAAGCTCACAGGATGCAGAGGAGTAAAGAACTTTGTGAGGTACATTGGTCTTGGATGCACATCATTGGCGAGTGGCGGGCAAAACCATTGTATCGACCTTCTGGATTCGGTTCCCACACCGTTCGAGGTCCTCACGTGGCAGGATAGTATCACTACCTCCAGCGATTGGAAACGATTGGTAAAGATCCCACACAGAAACGTTCCCTCTTTGAGACTGACAAATTGTAATGGACCAAGCTCTGAACGTATTATTTTCAAATGACAAATTTCTATCGGATTATGGAATCTGCTATTACGTGTAGGTAAATGAAAAGTAGACTTCAATGATTTTGTTCGGGATGAATATAATATAGCTGTTTTCGTTATCAAAACGACAATCACCATTTCTATTTCCTCTCAAGTGTTCGACGAACTTTCGATGTATGGGCGCATAACGCGAATGCGACATCTTCTGAGAGATGTTCGAGAGTTCATGTGTGTCAACCGTGGGATGTTCTGCACAGTTTGATACGCAGTCACATGACAAAGGCAAAATTACATATTTGTGGATTAATGATGTTCTGGTTTGTCGTATTTTCCTCATTTGCCGACATGAAAGCATCTGCTGGGTGTATCACATTCTTCCTTAGATTATTGGATATTAGCCATCGATCCCGTTAATCAAGTGGCAAATGCGGGACAGGAGAGCGCAATTATCGAAATGCTCAAGGTATCTACATTGGAAGCCACCTGGCAATTCCAGTATTCAAAGCTGCCTGGAATTCTTAGCATTTGTCTGGCCATCCAACCTCACCACAAACTCGCCAACGGAACCCTCGTAGCGGAGAATGGACGATGACTAAAATAATGAACTTTGACACACCTGAATCTATACGACTCAACTGAACTCATCACTCAACTAAAATGTGGCATCGAGACTGGCGGATCTTCTGTTTTTCAACGTAGTCTTATCTAGAAGAAGAACTATCTGATCACAGACACCAGCGGAGGGATTTCGAGCAATCGTCATTATCAACTCCTGAAGAATGAATGATTAAATCTTTCCGTCATGCTTCATACGCTTTGATTCACCAATTTCGACTCATAGGCAAATAGAGTAGAAGATATGAACTATGTTTAATAAAAGATTGCAGGAAAAGAAAGAAAAAAGAAAATAGCAGTCGTTTCGTTATTTGCTAGAGCAAGAGGCCGAAAGATTCAACACACTGATAACGTCACAATCACCGAAACGTTCAGATCCCTTCTGAATTGAAAATGAGATCTGTTATCATTATTTAGCTTAGTGAAACCGAACCGAAACCGTGTTCATTTTATGACGCACTAAAATAACGTACAGAAAAGTATATTTTTTACGTTTTTACTGTAATGATATGATGTAAATTATTATTTCTGGAACAGCCAGAGTTCTTTTCCTTTATCCAGATTCATGTAACGGTTGTTGTTGCCCTGTTCTGCCAGCGCAGTTTACACTGTCTTGTGCCGAACCCCTTCTCGTATTCGACGGAGGCTGTGCTCAGAGGTAGCGGGAATTCGCTCGGGCTCAACTTGAAGAGTAAAAGATAAGGGATAAATATGTTATCCATTGTGCTGTAACCCGTTCGGAATCATACCTGTTCATTTGGCTGCTGTCCGTCGGCTACGATCTTAGCGAACATCTTCTAGACTTGTGAGAGCAGGCGGACTGGGTGATGGTTATTTAGATCTTCCTGCTCGCCATTGCTGAAAAGCACGATCGTTTCCGACTGTTTCGAGCTTTATGGTATCTGTGCCGTTTTCAGGTAGCAAGTGAAACTTTCTGCTAGAGCCCTCCGCAGCGTTTGACCATGTGATCTGATCATTTCAGATATCAAACCGTCATTCTTCCTTCCTTCATCTGCTGCGCGGTGTGCCGAACGCTTATGAGCATCGAGAGTGCCCTTCCTTCTAGCCTTTGGAGAATTTGTGGGAGAACACGTCTTTGGTGCAAAGAGTTGGGTGTTTAAGCACTTGCAGACAAACGTTCATTTCCGTTCGATGGTCGACTGATAAAATGCCAACTCTCCCGTGCATCCTTTGAGGCTTCCGCGGTGTTTAGTTGTTTCCTCTGATTTTCTCGATTCTCAGGTCTCGAGGTTTTCCTTGTACTTCCGTCTACTAAGGTTGCGGAAAAGAGATCACTCCACTGTGTCGATGCCATCTCTCTTCATCCTCCTCTTCTTCTCTAGCAAAGCTCAGTCTCTTCTCTGATATCCATCCTTTCGCTCTCTGATGGTACTTCTCATAGTAGTCGTCGCGGCTGTCCTTCAGGCTCTAGGTTTCGTTGTAAATGCGTGCTTTGGGCATCGCCTCATCGAATAACTTCGGTTGCTGTTTGCGATTTTCATCTGCAGTGCCTCCCGATCGATCTTCTCCTCTTCGGTGAGGCTAATCTGCACCAGACTATTGTCACTGCTAAAATGAAATCATGGGACAATGTTGGTCTCGTTCATCGTTCTCGTGTCGGATGCGATCCCTGACCATTTCCTGATGGTCCTCTTCCACTAAGTGTTGCCGATGCTCTGGTATTTCGTTTCTGTCATGAGTCAACAGCCGTTTAAATCTCCAGTGACATGGAGGACATTCGTGGACTTTCGGAAGAATGTATGTTCCAGACATTGCTAGAATTCGTCGTCGGCTATAATTACGGTAGCATAGGTTTGGACGACCTTCAAGGTCGTCTTCTTGCTCAGTTAGAGACACAGCACGCCCGGTTTTGGTGACTTCGCAAGACAGAAAACTCGATTTTTGAGGACAAGTTCTTGCTGGCTACAAATCCGACTCTTCCTTTGTTCATCGCTCCCTCCTATCTTCCTCAAAAAATCAAAATGCCATCTTTTCCGAAGCCTTTCAGCTTCCGCCGTCATGTCTCGCAGAAGTCAATGATGTCACAGCCCAATACTGTTGGCTTAACGTTTGTTTCCTCGTAAGTGTTCTACAGTTGTACGTGCAAACGGCGAGGGAAAGTTTGGGAATATCAGATGGCGGCCTTGCGCTTGGGATTTTTGGCAACATCTCGTCAGTTGAACACAAAATTTCTGCCCCCCCCCCCACCAGAATTGGCCTAGAGACGCGGAGGGTGCTGAGGCCCATATATTCGTGTTGTCACGGCTCATGAAGTTCTGTCACACGCTGTCAGAGCCGACGAGAGCCTGAGGAATTTCTTCCTGATAAATCCCCAGTTCATTCCGGTCTTTTTTGTCGACGATGTCTCTTCGAGTCTTTGACGAACTGGCTTCTAACCGCAGGGCATCGATGATATTAACTGCCTTTTTCTTCAAAGAAGCGGATTGCTTCCACCTCGATGTGAGATCGTCAAAGGACATTGTGACATGTTCTCGTAAGATCGATCTTGTCAAGCTGGAACCCAGCCGAAGCCCGGTGATCTCACCTTTGTCTGTCCCTCAACTGCCCATGCAGCTGACCTCATTATCTGGAGGTCGTTCCTTTATCCGCGACCGGGTACGCTGTAGATGACTAACAGAAAAACTAAAAAATTTCAGAAACTGAACAGATTACAGAAAAACTAAAACTAAAAGGCCTCAGATCGAGGTGTGACATTCTTTGAGACAAAGGTTGCTGATAATAATTGAAATTTGTTAAGATTCGCTTGACAAATGGCCTCAGGCATGTTTCTGTTCAACAAGAATCATTCAAGCGGCGGTTTTGGTTTAAGCAGTTCTGCAGACCATAAAGAACGAGACTTTTCGCGCATGCTAGCGTCGATAACACTTGGGGCACTTAAGACGGAGCCGTAAACACATTTTCATTCAGGCCCCACAACACTAATTGGCCAGATCCATTGTTCAAGCTCTGTTTAGCAGCCTGATCATAGGAGCAGTAACAACTTTTTCAGCCTTTCTACTGCGGTGCTTTTTGTCCTAAACAAAACAAACGTAACACAACATAAAACGAGGATGTGAGTCTTGTGTTGTTACTGTACATGAGTGAGCAATCATTAGGTCGTTCGATCTGACGCTTTCGTTTCGCAGCTCGTTGTTGAAACTGTAGTGGATTTGTTAATGCACGGCTGATGGCACCGAGCAAAGACATTTGGCAAGAATTTGTACTGCTGTTTGGCGCTGCATTATGACACAACGAGTTTTGCTGCATGCTATTCGCTGATGATGCGACCGGTGTGGTTTCGAAACGCGTTTGTAAAAAGTTGTTGATCATCGACTGCGTTTGGTGCTCTCAACCATGAATCGAAATAGCTATTATTCTTCCGTTCTGCTTTTACACCGTTAATGTCTTCTGTGTGACCGACGCTACGAAGAGGGCATGGCGGATATGTATAATCCTCGCTCAACAGCATCCTTACAGTCGGACGCCACGGAACTTCCTTAAGCTTTCAAGCATTTTCCCATAATTCAGAATTTACGTTGAGACTAAGTACACGATACAACTGATTAGGCGAGTTATGCGGCAACTTCGCGCAGTCCCAGACTCTGGGATTATTCAAGCAGGTCACGGCTCCACGGCATCTGATCATCTGGAGGGAGCATGCAACAAATACTGTATCTCGTACTGAGACTCGGGGCTTGCTGGAATATTACTTAAAATTTGCGCCATTCCTCAGTTCTACTAAGAGTTTCAGTCGAAAGCAGCAGCAGTACGTCGAAAAACCACCTTGTCCTCTGGTACTGTTCCGTTGTGAGGTGACTCCACTTAAAGAAAGGGGCAATGCCATGGCCGGAAACCGGACTGAGGTCAAAAAACAACTTCAGATAGTGGACGAGTGGACACGTCAGCGCTTGGGCAAAAATAACCCGAACAAAAAACGATTCATGAGAAAGACCGATGACAAGTCGATCGACGGCGTGTTATCGACGGGGTTGGGTGTTCGACAAGCGCGCAAAGCCGCGCCGGCGTCCAGCATAACGGCTAGGCGTCGAAAACGACTGGCTTGCGTTTTTCCCATATTTTTTTTTAATGGCCGCAGCGAAAGTTTTCAGAATCCGAATACGAATGGACGAAAAAAATTGGGGAATCGCGACGATGAATCACGACCAAGGCTCGTTTTATTTACGGCGTATTTTTCAGCATCGATCCGCTGCCGCCGCAGTCGTCGACGACGGTTGTTATTAGGCGAATTTATGGCGACACGTTACAACGACGACCGGACAAGTGGGAACCGTTCATCGGTGACCACCGCTTGCCCTTCACTCGGTGCTGCTGGTCACAGCCGTTCTATTCTTGCCTGAGAATCGCCGCCCTTGCGACTTACGGTATGATGTTGAAAAAGCCCGGGAACGCATCGTTCATCGCTCAGGCAATGCTCTCTCACGGCAGCTTTGCGACGTTACATTCATCGTTTCGCGTGATCCGTCGGAAATCTTAGGGTGAGTGACTGCTCTTGATTGTGTCGCCGTTCGTCAGTCTACAAGTGGTATAGCGAAGTTTCGCTGTGTAAGTATTTCTTTGCATATTTTGCATTTTTCATTTTAGACTTACGATTTTGGTATGTACGTCGGGCTCCTGCAGTTAATTGTTTTAAATCACTTAACTTACACTCAACTTTTTCAGTCGATGAGGTGCACTTCCTCGAATAATTACGAAAAGCTTAACGAAAATTGAAAATAGACTGTCTGGTAATAATATTATCATGCCTTACCATATCATTAAACCCTACCACCATGCAGTATCCGTCTATGCGTACCTGATAATCACTGCTTCTGTAGGCGTACGGTATTTAGGAGGTATTAAGAATTTTCATAGGTGTGACTTTTGTCATCGCCATGAACGATATGCTTCAGCAGTTTCAGTCGTTCAGCTTTGATGCCCACTTGTTCCTTCGAGTCGGTGAAGCAGAAACAGTAGACAGTTTTTCTGACGTCCCCAATCGTGTGCCAGAGTTCTAGCTTCGGTCTTTGAAGAGAAACCGAGTCTGAAGCAGAGTTTTTTTTGGAGACACTTGCTCCAGGTCATTCTTGACCGCCCCATGTGTCCTCGGCTGTAAGTAGTAGTTGTTCGTCTCTGAAAACTTTCACGAGAAGTGCCCAAACAGTCGCCGCTATGACTTGTAAATCTGGAGAAGCAACGGTTGCAGATCAAGGATCCCTCGGATATTTTTACTCTGAACTACGTCTAGACGAGTGAGGCCAGCGACACGTTTCAGCATCTCCATTTCAGCCGCGTGTTTCTTGGATCGAAATTTTTCACTTATGGACCACGACTCCAGCCTGCCGTAGGCGAGCACCTGGGCAAAGATTCACTTGAACACAGTCAAGTCTTAGTCTTCAGACTCAGCTCTGCTTTAATTACAGCAGTTCGGGCGAGTCCACGCAGAACGCCACTGGCTACTTCAGTTCGCCGGTCGATCTCTTCCTCAAATTTTCCATCACTAGTAAATACGACTCAGAGGCTCTTCAACTTCATCTCCTCCATTCCCTCTCCGTTGATCTCATGATAGCAATAGACAGGAGAACGAGTGGGCTCGTCGTGTTTGGGCACATTCATACGCATACCGGTTTACAGAAGATGACAGGAATCCAAGTGCTCTGCAAACAGCAAACTTCTCGCTACATCTCTCTCGTTCATACACTCGTCGCCGTGGCTGCGATGACTATCCTATCCATGAAAAATAAACAGGAGAGGGGACAATGCTAACTGTTGACAGAGATCAGTGTCAGTGTTGATAGGCGTAGTCTTAACACTGCTTGTTCTGACACAGCACCAATTATCAGCATATGGTCACTGAATATCTCGTAGTAACTGGTAATTGATTCGATATGTCGGCAAGTAAAATGTCCATAGCTTGTTGCGCGGGATCCGGACACACTCTTTCTCCAGGTAAATAAAGCGCATGCACATCTGATGAGCGAACTCCCAAGATTTAACAACAGTCAGGCGTTAGGAGAATATCCGATCAGAGGCGATTCAGCGTGACCTGCAGCGCATTTGCTCTTGTGGTACCATATAGCCAGCTGTTCCACTGCACTTCCATTCTAATTCATTTGCATATGCTTTTTTTCGAAAGGTCCAGTAAAGGGATTCCAGGATAACTGAAACATTATCCATGGTCTACGTTCTGGAACAGGGGTTCCGCAATCCCCGTTCTCCACATCTTTAGCGTATTCCTTACAGCCACTACAATTTGACAAACACGTGTTATCCTCAACATATGTAGACCTAAAGTTTCAAGCATCTCAGGGCTGATTTCGCCGATTCCGGCAGCCTCATCACTTTTCAAATCATTTGCAGCTTCTGCGACATAATCCGTTTGAAGAATAATATACATTGTCTAATTTTTTTCAGCAGACTCATCATGCGATCGCCTAGGATTCAGGAATTTCTCAAAGTAATCTCTGCATAGGTGAAGATTGTAATCTTTTTTTTGGAAAGTAGTCGTCGAGACTTGTCCTTCAGGACTTTGACCGACATTTTTTACCTCTCGGAATTTTCAGATGATCTGCAAGAAGAGCTTGTTTTACGTCTGGAAATTCGACTAAAGAACCTCACAAAAGTTTTCCCAGGAATCATCTTTCGTTTTGGCCACTACTTTCCTGCCGCCTTGCGTATTTCTTCGAATTGAAGGCAACTTGCCTACAAGCTACCTCTTGGATGCATCGTATATCTTCTCCGTGAGAGCCAGTTTCAGCTCTTGGGTCCCTTAGGGAGTTCGTTTCTGACCTCTAGGCAGCGGTTTAATCCGTTATAAACCGCAGTATTTCGCAGCCGCCCTGTGTAAGTCGCTGTTCAAGAGCTTTCGCTGTGTTTCCACGTTAGCCGTCATCACTGGGATCTGTTCAAACCGTCTTCTGATGCTGCTTGCTGTTTTTCACGCTTTCCTATCCGTACAGAATAATGCCTTTTCAGCTGATTCTTTGGTAGCTTCGCTGCCACCAGGTCGTCGGACGGTATTCTCCATCGTTGGCAACGGAGGGTGCCAGCAGTCCGGTACTCAGCGCCTCTCATAACTCAGTCACTCATTACAAAGCGTAATTCGATTGTCAAATCAATGATTGATTTCCGTGCACCAGCTTCCCTGTCGCAGGTGTATCGACGCACGTGTTGATGCTCGAACGAGGTGTTCGTAACCGGCAGTCTGTTGTCTGCACAAACAAGTGACAATTTCGTTCAGTTGTTGTTAAGGTGACATCCGATGCTTTTCAGTCGCGTCTGTCCACTTTCAGTGTCTGCCTTAAGAGGCGCACTGAAATCACCAATCGGAGTGATGATCGATTCTCTAGTGGGCAGTTCGTACGGAGCAGCTTCTACTTCCTCCAGGGTGCACGCACAAAATCAAATCTTTAGCCTGTCTGAGTTTCCGTCGGATCGTCGTCACTCATCCGCTGACAGGTTTGCGTTCAGTGATTTTGTCAGCCAGGTTAGACTGCAGCAGCAGAACACCAAAACCGGCTTTAGAGCGGGCCATACAATCGTCACCTGATTTGAATGGCTGCCATCTGCAGAAGTTTGAAATTCCAGTTCTGACGAAAGCCCAGCTGTTCACAGGGCTTGCAGCGAGCCTCATCAGTGAGCCCCTGCTCTTTCGCTGTGAATGAGGGGGGGGGGTCGTAGTTTCCCACTTTCAGCTGCCACTCTCGGTACCATCCCAGTGCGACCATACCTGACATGCTGGCACCGTGCCGCTATGCCCTGTTTAAGAGGTCTCCCTAGGCGACTAAAGGCAAGGAGACGGTGGATGTTGCGCTACAGCCTGCTGTACGTCATTTACTTTAAGGTTTTCGTCCCTTTTGTAAATCGGGTATCGGTAGTTCAGAAAATGGTATACCTCTATATTCCGTTCATTTCGCCTGCAACGTTTCAGAAACATTAACCGCAAAATGAAAAATCTACTATACCGTTAACTTCAAGGAAGAATTCATAAAACGAGAAAAACACACATCGGACAGTGGCCTTTACTTTTTTAGCGATGATGCATTGGCGAGGGCGTCGTCATTTGTTCTAATGAGGAACGGTTTTCAAACAGTTTGTAACGAATTTATGGTATGCAAAAGAGCCGACAAAAATTGTTTTGGTTTCGGATTGTTTCGCAAACGATGATGCCAGAATATCTCGCTTTGTCAGCCAGCATAACGACAGAAGGTTGTAACTAGACAGTGCAAATATGACCGTTTTCATAAACTTTGATGGCAAGCCAAATTAATAATTAATAACCATGATCAACCTTTGCGACAGATCAGAAGTTTTGTCGTAGAAATAAAATCTTTGATTGAGAATCTCTTCATCGGCTTAATTGGAGTAGTTGGCAAACTTCCAATGCAGATCAGGAAAAAAATGCGCTTATGACGTTTTTCATCACCTGTTGCAGTAGTTTTGTCGAAGTGCGCAGAGTTCGGGCATTGAAGGGAATTCCAGCGAATTCCTGCTCGCGTTAGTTCTTGCAGGGTAATAACAGATCGACACCTGGTGGCTGCGAGAATCGAAATCCGCCGACGAAGAAGTTGCAGAACGGATGGCCAGCGTCATCGAGACAGCTGAATGACCGCTCGTTTTAATGTGCTACCACCTGAGACGATTCTGGGTGCAAATTTAGTATTGCTGGTTCTGTGGACAATCTTCAGTGTTCGTCTAGGGAAACAGACACACTTTTGAGTAGGCGAGTAGAAACTACCGTATTGGTGGCATACGGAACCGGGGCAATGCAGCAGTCTTGCGGATGTTTCCAGAAAGAAACGCTGGACAGTTAGTTCTTGAATCACCAACCGACCATAGATCCCGGAGACGACCAAGATTAACCTAGGACAAGTGTATCGAACGAATCTGATCTTTACCTCGGTTGTGTTCGGTCCCCGCAACCCGAAAGGATAACAGGTCATTGAAACTGACTGACTGGCTCTTGGGAATAAAGCGAGAAATGT